TTATGTGTAAGTAATATATCAAGATATCTATAGAATAAATCTTGACCCATATTACTTCCATAGAATTGCAAAAACTGTTTCAGGCATTGCATTAAAAAATCTCTCTCTCTTCTGTAATTTCTGCATGCTTTTGAAAAGAAGAATTTCTTCTATTCAGTGACTGTTTCTCACTTTTAGGCCTCAAAATCTTTTAATAATTTATTGAAAACTCCAAATCCTCTACCTGAAAAATATATAAACATGCAGAATTTTGCATATATTAATGTTCATTTAATCTGGATTTTCCTTTGTGCTAGTAGTTTAAAAATATTTTTTGAGTGCTCATAACTCATTTCTTTAGAGGATGTTCAGAAGGTAAAAGTAAAAAAAAAAAAAAAAAGCCAGAATGCATACCGATAGTATCCTGTGTATGTGCTCTGAACTCCACTGCCAGCCTCTTTCCCTCCCTCACTACTCTCTTAAACCTGTGTCAGTTTAAAAGCTTTCTAAATTTGATTTTTTTGCTTGGAGACAGGTTTAAGTGACACTTCTCCAGATGAAGGGTTAATAGAGGACTTGACCATAGAAGACAAAGCTGTGGAGCAACTGGCAGAAGGATTGCTTTCTCACTACCTGCCAGACCTGCAGAGATCAAAACAAGCTCTTCAGGAACTCACGTGAGCTGGCAAAAACCATAGATGCACTCATTTCCCCTCTGGCAATGTCATAATTTACTCTATAAGTAAAAACATATGCTATAATAAGGGATAATATTTTGTAACATTTAAGACAACGGAGTATTTCTATATCTCTCATGATAGCAAATGGGAGTGGAGTAGTCTAAATTATGTAGCATATGTGTAATTCAGATTACATAGTAATCTAAACGTAAAAAGTGCAATGAATGCTCCTAGAGGATTTGGTCTCTAAGAAGTACCCCTAAATCTTATCTAGACTCTTTGATTGGTTTTGGTGTCTCACCACTGTTTTAGGAAAGTATCATCTACTGGGAATGTTGCAAGATAGCTATACACCTGTTTCTGAGTAGAGTTGCAAAATTGTCAACATAAGAGTCGCAATTTGTTTTGAATTGTTGGTTCACATGAGTTGCCAGAAATCCTTAATTATTTTTTATTGAGATGACCTAATTTCATTCCTAATAAATACCTCTGCTAGCTAAATAAAGGATTGGAAAATAAGCTAAGAGAGGAACAGGATAAGGAAGAATCGCCTTAGAGTGGGATCAGTATGCAGAAATATATACTGTGACTTTATCAGCTCCCACTCAGGGACAGCCGACTGAGCTTCTGCTTCCTCTTGGGTCAGGACCTCTCTGGATTACCCAGGCTGGCCTATCATTTCTTTTTTGTGGTGATCAGCTTTATTTTATTATTATCTTTTGGGGAGGTTTTGGGTTTTTTTTTTTAAACATCTTTATGTGGTATAATTCCCATAAAGTAAACTACACATATTTCTATGTACAATTTGATTAATTTTTATATTTTTTATTGAAGTATAATCAGTTTACAATGTTGTGTCGATTTCTGGTGTACAGCACAATGCTTCAATTATATATGAACATACATGTATTTGTTTTCATATTCTTTTTCACTGTAAGTTACTGCAAGATATTGAATATTGTTCCCTGTGCTACATAATTTGATGAATTTTAATAGATATATACACTTAGGAAATGTGGTGGTCAGCTTTAAACTGGCTATGTACTGCTGCTGCTCTAAGACCTACCCTTCGAAAACTATCTTAAAACCCTTTATTAGGGCAAAAGGAGAGGAATAATCAACAGCTTACGTCCATTTTATAAATATTGATAGCTAACGTTCTAGTCCCTAGATTTCCAGATGATAAGTGAGTATAAAAGTGGTACTGTGTTTTACTGCGTGTGGTTAGGGAGTTGACAACATTCTTGGTTTTCTGCTAGTTCCAAGTGAGACTTTTTGTATCCCTATTGTGTGGTCTGTTTTGTATTTTAACAACAGTCAATTGCGGTAGAAAAGTCATAAAGATTTTGTGGGGGAGTTTGGATGAAGCAAGATAGACTGAAGAAAGGTAAGAAACTCTGCAAACAAAACATCTGGATAACACTTTACTTACGGAAAACTGGGAGTCAAGATTTAATTGGAAAGTTTAATTGAGGAGGACATTGGCTAAAATTTTGTGTTGGAATAACTTCATTTATCTTCCTAGGCAACCAGACGATGATGATGATGAAAATGATGATAATGATAGTAAAATCAGCTACTGTTTATAACAGTTGAATAGGAAGAATAAATAGTTGTTAAACTTCTAGAGTGTTAAAGAAAGATGAGCAAACTTCAGAGAAAGAAAAGAAAAAGAAAAAGAAATATATGGGTCTATTAAGAGCTTTCTACACCATCCCACTGATTAATGTATCTGTTCTTTCACCAATACCATTGATTTCTGTAGTTTTATGTCTTGAAATTTGGTAATGTTAAGTCTTCCAATTTTGTTCTTCAGTATGTGTTGGCTATTGTGGCTTTTTGCCTTTTCATATGAATTTTAGAATCAGTTTGTTGATACCTACAAAATAAGTTGCTGGGATTTAAATTGAGATTGCATTGGGTCAAGTTGAGAAGAATTGAGATCTTAGCAGTATTGAATTTTTTATTCCACCTACTTAGAATATCTCTTCATTATTTAGATCTTTTTTATTTCTTTCATTAGACTTTAATAGTTTTTGCACATAGATCTTATGCATATTTTGTTAGATTTATACCAAAGTATTTCATCTGACAGGAGTTATAAATGGTATTGATTTTTAATTCTGATTGTTCATTGCTGGTATAAAGGAAAACAACTGACCTTTATATTTTAACCTTGTATCCTGAAACCTTGCTATATTCACATTTTTATTCCTGGGTGTTTTTTGTTGTTGTTGATTCATTGGGATTTTCCACATAGGCAATCTTGTTATCTGTGGACAGACAGTTTTTTCCCCTTCCTTTCCAATCTTTATTTTGTGCGTGTGTGTTACTGCATTAGCTAGGACTTCCAGTAATGTTGAATAGGAGTAGTAAGAGTGGACATCCTTTCCTTGCTCCTGATCTTTACGGGAAGAGCATCTAGTTTCTTACCACAAGTGTGATATTAGCTGTAGGGTTTTTTTAGATATTCTTTATCAAGTTGGGGAAGTTACTCTCTCTTCCTAGCTTGATGACAGTGTTTTTAACCATGAATGGGTGTTGGACTTTGTCAGATGCTTTTTTTACATCAACTGATAACACCATACAATTTCTCTTCTTCAGCCAGTTGATGTGGTGGACTGTATTGATTGATTTTTCATATGTTAAACCAGCTTTGCATACTTGGACTAAATCTCACTTGGTTTATGGTGTATAATTCTTTTTATACATTGGATTTGATTTGTTGACGTTTTGTTGAGGATTTTTGCATCTATGTTCAAGAGAGATAATGGTCTATAGTTTTCCTTTCTTGTAATATCTTTATCTGGTTTTGGTTTTAGGATAGCGTTGGCCTCATAGAATGAGAATTGGTGTAATTTCTTCCTTAAATGTTTGGTTGAAATCACCAGTGAAGCCATCCGTTCCTGCTACTTTCATTTCTGGAAGGTTATTACTTATAAATATAAGCCTACTTGGATGATCAGTTTTGCCTTGTGTGAGTTTTGGTAGTTTGTATCTTTCAAGGAATTAGTCATTTCCATCTGAGTTATCAAATTTGTAGACATAAAGTTGTTGAAAGTATTCCTTTATTCTCCTTTTAGTGTCCATGGGATAAGTAGTGATGTCCCCTCTTCCATAAATTACGTTAGTAATTTGTGTCTTCTCTCTCTCTTTTTTTTTGTTAGTCTAGCTAGGAGTTTATTAATTTTATCAGTCTTTTGGAAGAACCAACTTTTGGTTTTGTTGATTTTTTATTGTTTTCCAGTTGTAACAACCTGTTTTTGCTGTCCCGCTTATCTTGGATCTTTGACTTGCTGTGTTCTCCTCTCATCCGTTCTGTATTTCACCTTCTGTGGTCTTCAGTCAGAGCTGAAGGGACACTTGTAACCTGTAGGGTATGCCAAACTCCGTGCTGGATGGTGGAGATTTATCACTGCCCTTCAGTCTCTTTATTGCTATTTAGTTTTTTCATCATTGTTCTCTGTTTAGCATAGTTTCGCAAACACATCATATTACATTTTTCTTTGTCTGTAGTATTCTTTAAAATATTTAATTAGGTGGCCCTCCTCCTCCCCCCTCCAGTGTCACTTGTTGCTGTGATCCCAGCATTGGTTGATCTGGAGAAAAATATCAGAGAAGTTGGCTTGTCTTCCTCAATCGAAAGTTTTGAATCAGATTTTAAGAGGAACCTTAGAAGTTACCTGATCTGATCTTCTTACTTTATAAATGAAGAAATATAGGTCTAGAGAAAGAAACTTAATTTCCAAAAATCACACAACTGGGTATTATCCTTTGATACTGTGTTTTCCCCAATTTTATAATCTAAAAAGTCACTGTTCCTCTTCTCCTTTATGGTAATGTTGCGATTTTAATATACATAAAACATCAAGTTTTGGGGGCAAGATAGTATAAAAAACACTTAGGGGGATAATATGGAAGGTAGCTAGAAATAGGTAATAAAATAATTTAAAATGGTTCATTGTTATTAGAATGTGAAATTGAAGAGGGGAGGGTATAGCTCAAGTGGCAGAGCACTTGTCTAGCATGCATGAGGTCCTGGGTTCAATCCCCAGTACCTCCTCTGAAAATAAATAAATAAACAAATTTAATTACACCCCCCAACACACCAAAAAAAAATGTGAAATTGAGGCAAAAATAAAAGACACACTTAGTTATCAGAATGTGGCTTTGGAATATTATTTTGAAAAAGATTATGCTAAACTAAATAAGCCTTGGAGAGTCAATAAATTACCAACCTAATTTCTACTTCTGACATTAATCAAGATGAATGTGATTCCTTTTAATGAACCATCACTTAAAGTATGTAAAGTTTATTTTGGCTGTGTGCTTTTATTTCAGACAGAACCAAGTTGTATTATTAGATACGTTGGAACAAGAGATTTCAAAATTTAAAGAATGTCATTCTATGTTGGATATTAATGCTTTGGTAAGCATGATTTAGTTGCTATAGCTTAATGACATCTTGTTTTAGAAATAGGTAGAATTATCTCCCCAAATTTCTACTTTCGTATGTTTGAGATATTTTCCTCTAATTTTGAAAGTTTAGAATTTGTTTAGCAGGAAACCTTGATTTACTTTATTAGACCTTCCATTGTCTTGAATTGTTAGCTTTCAAACATTGAACTTGTGATAGGAAATTGAACTTACGTGTGAGAATCTGGAATAGATCTGCTCATAATTGAAGACCAATAAAAGAGAAATTAAGGAACTTTGGGGGTACTGTTTTTCTCCTTATCTCTCTTTATCACGTACAAGGTTTTTAAAATTAGTGTTTATTTAATTGTATGGCATTTTCATAATGGCTGAAACAGACTGAGGGTCCTTTGTATCTCTCAATATAAACAACAATAGTGGAATTTCAGAAGCGTTACAGCTTTTTGATAGGAGGAACTGATACTCTTTAAGAAATGGAGAATTAACAGAAATAAGGAACTTGTGGCTACCTTTTTCTTTACCTCGAACATTAGAAATAGCTTAGTTGCATGAGTTTGTGGACTTCCAGTATGTATGTCAAAAAATAGACTTTTCATTGGAAAAATGTGGCTTATTAATGTTTTCCTTTTTTAACAATTGAAAACAAAGTACAGCTTCTCTAGTATTAGGCAGAGGCCTATGGTAGTAAATACAAAGACTTCTACTCAGGAGTTCCTGATTTGTGAAGGACATGGGCTAAGCCCCCCTACTTTTGTCTTCCCCACTGAGTTCATGTTGCAGCAGAACGAATATTTAAGGAATGAATGATGAATGAATGAACCAAACAGATGTAATGCTATTGCTTCTGTCTGAAGGGGCAGAAACTAAGTCTTCCTCTTTTTCCTTCTCTCAGGAGTTTTAATTGCCATTTAGGAACTGAAAAATAGAAGGCCCAGAGAGAGAGAGAGAGAAGGAGGGTCTGTAAGCTCTAAATCTTACCAGACTCCAGCTTTCCTTGTAGCTATATTAAGGCTGCTAATCAGTCTGTTGATACTTCTTTCATTTCTGTTACTGATCTTCTCTGTTACCTTGCTTCCTGAGAATGAGGTGCTTTTTTTCCTTCTCTCCCATCTCTGGCTGAGATGGAAAGTCTTACCATTCCTTGGGAAGAAAAGTGTCTTTACACAGATTGTTCTCCTTGGTCTGACTTGAGAAGCCCAAAGAATATGGCCAAACTTGTCCACAGCCCTCTCAGGGCTTACTGGGCACAGCTTGGTTTTTCCTGAGGACAGACACTTAAACTGTACTATGTACCCTGGCTCAGTCTCCTCCTTGTAAGGCAGTAGAGAGGGTTTTACTTTTCTTAAATGAAACTAATAGTGTTTTTGGATAGTTTTACTCAAAGTTTAGGATTAGATGCATGTTGTTAAGGCAAAATATTATGTACACAATATAACTGTCTATTTTATGTTTAGTAATGTTTTAATCAATCTGAACTGAATCAAATATTATCAAAAGCCTACTAATGGTTTAAATTAAATTTGAATTTTGGAATTAAAATGTGGAGATAATTAAGGCTTTAAATTTTTTGACCAATTTAGGAAGAATGAACTGTAGTTTAGACATTTACTTATTCATTTTGATATTTCAGCCTGTTTTAAGTTGACTTTTCATTTGCTTTTCCTGTTAAGTTCACTGAAGCAAAACACTATCATACCAAGTTGGTGAATATAAGAAAAGAGATGCTGATGCTTCATGAAAAAACATCAAAGTTAAAAGTGAGTTTAAAATTTTTTCACAGTCTTTATTAAAGTAGAGGTTTAATTGTCTTTTTCTTCCGTATTCATTTTCTGACTTCTTATATATCCATATACAGTAACATACTAATTCATGGTACATTGTTTTCTTTTAAAACACTTTCTTATGAGCCCCACTCTGGGCTTTTCTACTAATAGTTGGGCTAGTAGGCTCACATCCTCTGTATGTCACTGCAGTTCTCATTCAGTAAGAGTTTGGAGGAACAAACTTTGTTATCAAGGAGACCCTAAATTACCCAGAACATTAAAAATTGTGAATCACTATATTGTATACCTGTAACATATAATATTGTACAGCAACTATACTTCAATAAAAAAAATTACCCAGAACAAATTTAAAAGTTAAATATGAAATTTATTAATATATATTGATTACCTTAAATCAGAGCACTATTACTTTTAAAACTTTAAAAAAAATTTTAGTTTTTGTATACAGTTTTTAAAGATTACTTTCCATTTACAGTTGTTACAAAATATTAGCTATATACATCCTTGAGCCTACATCTGATAATTTGTACCTCCCACTCTCCCATCCTTATATTGCCCCCCACCACTAGTAACACTAGTTTGTTCTCTAAAAGCACTGTTACTTTTAAATTAGACCATAACCTACAAGCCTTTTGTTCTCTTGATTTTTTTATTTTTTTGACATAGAAAAGAGCACTTAAACTGCAGCAGAAGCGGCAAAAAGAAGAGTTGGAAAGGGAGCAGCAACGAGAGAAGGAATTTGAAAGAGAAAAGCAGTTAACTGCCAAACCAGCTAAAAGGACGTGAGAAGTTGAATGTTGGTGTCCTTCCTTCCCCTGTTCATGTTCTGGATTTGAGGCGACCCAGTGTAGACTGAAGTGAAGGTAGTGCCTTATGCCTTCGTGTCATAGTTTGAAATCCTTTTCCCAGGAGTGCTGTCTCTCTGTCTTCATTTCAGCCATTCAAGAAGCCTTTTTTTCCCTAAGTAGAAGACATAATGTCACTTGGTTTGGATACTTATATGTAATTTTTCAACTTCATTTTGTTTAATTTTAAAATTCATTATTTTGGCCTTAAGTAATTTGTAAACTAAAAAATGCTTTGATAGTTTAGTAGTTTTGATGCTAAGTGGTTAAAAATTAGTATTTTTTTTTAGCTTATTAGTAAATGTGGCTTTAAGAGTTTCGCTTTCTTATTTTATGAAATGACTTGCCTTTGTGGTAGTACAGTGCTGGTTTTTGGCAGTTGCCTGTTCATTGCTTGTTTAAGAAAAAAGGCCATCTGGAAAATCACATATGCCACTGGAAAAGAGGTGGTAGAAGCCTTTGTGAAGAACATAATAGAGAAGAGCGCACACAGGAAGCAATGGCATTGTAGGCACAGGATAGGTGAGCAAGATGCCGTATGGGTTCCCCTCACCATGTACCCTGTCTGCTTCCAGGCTTTGTCATTGCTATTTAGTTCTTAGGTTGCTTCTGGGTACGAAGTAGATTATACCTATTGCTAAAATTTGGTGGGAGTGGTGTAGCTTTCACACACGCAAATATGCTTAAATATTTGTAATTCTTAGTAACAGTTGTCACACACCATGAGATACAGCTGTGAAGCTGATAAGATAATTAACCCAACTTTCCAAGTGGAAAGGCTAATTGCTAGTTCTGCCTGTCCTCTGATGTGCTGTTTGGCCTTATGTGTGATTACTTTTTCTGTGCTCTTAAAAAATTCTTAAAGTAGAATGATATATGCCAAGTACCCATGTTATAGATAATGACAAGAATGGTGGAAAATTAGTAAACAGCTTCTTCACAAAAGAGGCAGCATGGTAACTTTAGTGTTTTCTAGACCTCCCCCCCCCAATAATATATGTGGAGATTATTATGTGAGGGTAACATTATGAAGTTGCATTGTTTTAAAGTGAGAGGTATTATTCATTGTTTTAGTAGTATTTAATACCCAACTGATGTACCATCTCCATTAATAGAGACTGTACAGATTAGATTAGATTATAGATTGTGATTAGAATGTGTATCTTTTATAATCTACATGACATTTTTGGTAAGCTGGAATTACTACCTCTGACTACGTATCAGGCTAACTAATGATGGAGAAGGCCTTAGATTTACATCGAGTGCTAAGAAGTGATCTTTTTAAAGGTTTGAAAAGTTTGAAAGCCTTTCTTTTCTTTAATGAATGACTTATAATCTCACAATTCACTTGACTTTGACCTTATGTTTAAGAATATAAATATATTTCATTTTAGAAGGCCACATGTTGCCCTCAAACACTAGGTGAAACTCCTTGGGCAGGATCATTAGCGCTGGCAGGACAGTGTCACCTAAACTGCTGAATGTACTCATTTGTATGTAACCTGACAAAGGCTGTGCATTGTTCTTGGACTGGTTTGTGGGTCCAGCTGAGATGATTATTTGACATGGTGGTTCCTGGACACCATTCTCAATTTACTGAAGCAAATCTGTTTGTTTTTCTTTACTTTTCTTTTTTTGAAAAGTTTCCTCAAGTGATTAAAGTTGAGAACCACTGGTCTAGTGGTCTAGGTCAGAGGTTTCCATGCTAGGCTGCATATTATTATCACCTGGAAGCTTTTAAAAAATACACTCTGAAAGATTTTTACTCATTAGTTGTTAGGTAGGGCCCATGCACATTTTAAGGAGCCCCCTCAGATAAGTCTAATGCAAGGAAACGCTGATGTAGACTTTCTAGTGATTTATATTTATAAGGAGTGAAATAGTTTGAAACTACCTTGTAACTCTTGGGATTAATCTTATGAAATAAATTCTTAAACTGCTGCTTTTGATATAAATTCAGATTTAAGACTGAACTTGATAGCAGGCAGGAAATAGGTATAGAATTCTGATGAACTGAACTTTTGTGATGTGTATTAAAATAAATCATGTTTATTGAATGAATGGCAAGGCACATATACTTTGAAAAATATATTAACTACATTTTGAAGAGTTTTTAAAATGTCGAGAATATATATTAGCAACCACTATTTTTAGATCAGCTGTAAATCAGAAGTACTATTACTTCGGTATTAAAATATAAAACTTTAGCTATATATCAGTAGCATATAGATACATCTTTCTAAAACTGAACAGAACCCCTATGTTAGTCTTGCTGTATTTTTGCACAAAGTAATGAATTGATAACTTGAGTTGAAAAAGATTACCTTTGGTGTTTTGGTTGAAAAAAAAAGTCATCGTTTTGAAACTATATCACATACTCGTAACTAAAATTATGGAAGTTAATTTTATATTTACTTTGCAGGAGGTATCATGTAAATATACAGACGGTGAATGTAGTATGGATTGTGTCCGCAGTGAGTTTTTGGGTGGATACAGTTTATAAATATGCCAGTTATATACCCTCATACACTTGTCTGATTTTGAGCTTGTAAAATGAAGACTACTTTTTACACATTTAATAAAGAAAAAAAGGTCTCTGAATTATCCAGTGTCATTTATCAAGCACTGGTGTGTACACAGCACTGTATACTTCCCTTTATGAAGCTTATTTCAGGCGTTCCATTCCTTTGCTTCCTCTCCTGGCATCTTCCTCTCAGTGTTCTCCGTTGATTGCATCACAGAATGACTAGGCCCGCTCATGAAACCCTTTTCAGAAAGGTGATAGAAAGTGTTGTGAAGAGGTTCTAGATGAAATAACCGAACTTTGTTAAGTTCTTCACTATTAGAGAATAGAAATAATTGCTACTACTTTTAGTGGTTTGATAAAAAGTGTTTCACAAGGACCCCTGCATGCACAGCCTATAAATAATGGAAACTTCCAATTAATAGAATATTTTGGTCAAGTTTTTTGTTTTTCTAACCTGGTAGTCCTTGGACCCCTGGGTAGGGATTCTTGTGGAATCATTTGAAGGAGACATGAACTCTCATAAATTTCTCACAGAAATTTGTGTATATATGTTTCTCAGGATTGAGCTTGTAGTTTTCATTAGATTATTTTTATTTGTAAATGAATTGATTAATTTAAAAATTACACAATTTCCTCCAAAGCAATGATTCTTAATTATTAAAACTCCAAACCTCGCTGTGCACATATTAAAACAAGTTACTTAGTTTCTAGGTTTTCCTTTTGGATGAAAATAGTTCCTATGTTATGTACTTGTTCAGATATTATGTTAGGACACATTAATTAGATATTTTAAGATTTAGCCTATTGATAGGTTATTCATACTGCTTTAGCTCTGCTTGCATGTTTGAGACCATATACCACCTAATCTTTGGGTTACTGTTAGGTCTATTTTCGAAGCCATTAAGAGGGTGAAGGGACTAGTCAAGGGAGATGGTTGTAATGACTAGTTTTAAAGCACTTAAAGCAAAAATTCGAAAGAAACACAATTGAAGGAAGGGCAGTCAGAGACAAGACAGGTAAAATTTGCTGTGGGGTGGTGATGTTAATTGAGAAGGAGAAAAGAAAAGGCCAAGACTGACATAGAAGCGTGGATGAGTGCTGCTCACTCCTGTTCCATGTGTGACTTTTATTAGGACTTCGGCAAAGAGAGTCAAGTATATTGAACACTTGGTAAAGGGACTACTAAGAAACAGAAGTGTATGTATGGACTCGAAGGTTCCTGGCTCTGCTGTGATCACAGACCTTTAAATTTTAAAGCGTAGAGGACCTTAGTCCCGTGGTTAATATCATGTACTGAGAAGTCAGACTGCTGTGATTTACATTTCTGCTTGATTTAGGGCCTTGGACTTACTTAAACCCTGTGTGCCTCTCAGTTTCCTAAACTGTAAGGTTGGGATAAGTGTTTCTGGCTTTGTAAGGTTATGAGGTTTTGTGACGTCCATATAAAAGCCCATAATCAAATAGTAAGAGCTCAAGAAATGCTGGGTGTTACAGTATCTTGAAGTCACTTGTCTGCGTGTGGTGATGCTCGTTTTGCCCTTTGTGCATGTCTGTTTTTTGCTTACACGGTTTCCTCTTGGATCCTTCGTCCTGTAACATCTGCCTGTTAGACATCTATTTCCTCTTTAAAACTTAAATGCTACTTCTTAAGGTTTTTCAAACCACCTCCCAAAGAATTTCTTTAATACATTTGCCTTAACATTTACAATATTGGTTATATGTTCCCATCTTGCAAGGTTAAGGATACTTTTTAGTCACTTTTTTAATACTTCGTGCAGTAGTGCCTGGCCTATAAGTTGGTGTGTGGATCAGGGTTCTTCAGAGAAAGGGAACCAAAAGTGTGTGTGTGTGTGTGTGTGTGTGTGGAGAGAGAGAGAGAAGGGTGAGGGAGGGAGAGAGAGGGAGAATTTATTTTAAGGAATTGACTTATGTGATTGTAGGAGCTGACAATTCCAAACTCTGCAGGGCAGGCCAGCAGGCTGGAGAACCAGGGAAGAGTTGATGTTGCAGCTTGAGTTCAAAGGCATTTGAGGCTGAATTCCCTCTTCCTCAGGAGACCTTAGTCTTTTTTTCTTAAGGGTTTCCACTGATTGGTTGAGGTCCACCCACATTATGGAGGATGATCCTAAAGTTTACTGACTTAAACAGTAGTCTGATCTGAGAAATACCTTCATAGCAACATCTAGACTGGTATTTTCCCAAATATCTAGGTACCATGGTCTAGCCATGTTACTTACCACTTAAACTTAACCATCACAGTTAAGACTGAATTGAATCTAGTAGGAGAATCTAGAGAGAGAAACAAAAGTAGCTATGATAAAAAAAAAAAAACTGGATTACAAAAATGTCAAATAAGGAATATGACAATAAAAAGATTAAATTCCTGCAATTCAGACATGGCTTGGGAGCCTGTAATCCTTGGATAATCCAAGCCACTGCGTCCATCCCTGATTACATACTCAGTTAGACTGAAAAAAATAGTGATAGCCAGTCCCAAGATCTTAGGAATAAAATGAGCTCAGAGATCATGTATGTACTGGACTGTACAAAAATAGATGCCACATCTGTGGTTCAGCTTTATTCCTTCTCTGTCAAGTTTTCTTAAAAACAGCTTCAAGGAAGAGGTGGACAGCTTTATCACAGGCTCAACATCTTTAACTTCAAACCTGAAGTGCCAAAGGGACCATGCTGCCATCTTGTGGTGCTCTGTTCCCGCGTCCACAGTTCTGGCTTTTGTGCCTCAATTCATTTGGCGAAGTTTGGCCCAAGTGTTTTCAACTACAGTTTTTTTTGGTAAGTCGGGATTTTCTGTGTAGTCTGAACTTTTGTTTAAACAGTGAGATGTTTGAAAGTGATTTGTGAAACATTTGATGAGGTTTAAAACTACATTTTTCTAACTTTTTGCGTCTTTTAGTTTGATACTGGGCTTGAGGTTTTTTCATTTTTTTTTTCCTTCTCCAATCATGTAACCCGTCATCATCACTCATGTTCAGAATCCTGTTCTAAGAAAAATATTCCAGGCCAAAGATCTTGCTGTGGTCAAAGGCCCCAGGAGTTCCGTGCTTTTATTCACCTGACCCTCCATATTGGGCCTCTGCTGATAGGATCTGGGGTGAGCACCTGACCCGAGGGCAGCCAGTCCACGGGCCAAGGGGTGAAAAATTAGTTCGGCAGGAAAAACTCTGCCTAGATGGAAGCATAGAGAGTCTCCTTGGCTTAGTCAGTTACTGTGTTGGGACTGAGTATGAGAATATGCAGTCGGACAGAATCAGCTTTTTGGTAATTGAGGGAGAAATGAGAAGACACATGGAAGCAGACAGCACAGCTGAGTGTTAAGTGGGGGGAGTAGGGATCCATGAACTTCTACTTCTGAAAGGGGACAAGGTCATAGACCCCTCAGAATGTCTTGGATCCCGAGCAGCTTTCCTGTATAAGGCTCTGTGTGACCTGGGGGCTGGGCTTTTCTTAGGTTTCTGTGGGATTTGATTCCTGGGCCAAGATTCCTGTTTTCCACGGATATTTTATAGTATCATCCTCCCATCCCCTTCTTCCCCCATTTATGAGATAACCTTAACAATTCTCTATTTAATGCAACTTTAAGCATCTAATGTCATTGTCTTTCAGGTTGCTCTAGCATGTTACATTTTTCAGAGTGTTTTATTATCTCATTATCTCATTTAATAATAAGGATGCTACTGAGGGGATTGTGTGGTTCCATGCTTGCTAATCCAGGAGTTTAAGGAAGAAGACGACACTCACCAGCACCCAGGTGCAGCCTTACTGGCAGCCATACTCTTGTTCCCATTGCTTGCTGGGGTTTTTCCCTGATTTCGTCCAGTTTCTTTTTTTAGAGTATTTTCATCTCTGGCTGCATTTCTAATACCACATCTCCTTTCAGCTCATTCCCAAGCCTAAAATTCAGAGCCCCAGCTCTGTTGAGCATCTGTTACATGCCAGGTGCCTTATACATGTCATCTCATAACAGCAACCTTAGGAGTTACCACCCTAACACCACAGCCTTATCACCATTTTATAGGTGAGGGCGTATTACAGATGAGGACAACTGAGACATGTTGAGTCTGAGTGACTGCCCAGGTCACACAGCTGCAAGTGGGGGAACTGGATTTGATTTTGGGGAAAATTCAAAGCTATCACATTGCTGAGGAATTTTCTTGGGTTGGAGACCCTAGGAACAGAGGTAAGAATAGGCTTAGGGGTCTTATTTTAAATCTTTTGCTAAAACTCTACAATGATAGGGAATTATGTGGATACACTATTTCATCTGCCAGTTTTTTTAATCCAGTCATAATATTGGAAGAACAGAAGTAGAGGAGGCATGGATGTCCCTGTTAGTAGAGAGCCTAGTGTGAAGAATGCACAGAAGTCATCTTTGATTTTCCTGCAAGGCTGTTTTAATTGTAGGCTGCTGGTGAAGCTCCACATTTCTCCAACAGAAACAAGCAACAGTGGGACTGAACCTGGGTAGGATGTGGTTCATGAGCCTTTCCTGCTGCTGTCGCAGTAGACAGAAGAAAGACGAAGCTTCTGGGAGAAGTGAGCGACCCCAGAAGGGCCAGGACATCCCCATTACGGCTGTTTTGAGCAGTCTCACCCTCACCCCTACCTCGAGAAAGCTGTCATGGATGTTGCCTTGCTGGGCCTGCCTTTCTGGGTCCTCAGCCTACCACTCAGCTCCATCTCTTTTGCACCTTTATAGCTTTGAGGGAAGAACACAGCTAGACTGAGAAGCCAGGTTTTCTTACTGGAGAGCCCTAAGCAATGCAGTTTCCTTAGGATAAACGTGCAGGATCCCTGAGACTCTTCCAGCGTTAGCTTTATGAGACACCTTGCATCCCGTGGCTCTCAAGGAGTGTTGATGTCTGGGCTCTTGTTTTCACCTAACAGTGGCGCCAGTCTACCTGCTTGGTGCAGTGGCAGCATCCAAGCAAGAGCGCTCATCTCAGATGAGATCTTTCTAGCCTTTAACTGCCTCACAGCCTGGGCCTCGGAAGGATCCTAAGATTTGTGAGTTTACCCTCTCACAATGGGGGAGTGGGGAAGGGGTCGCTTCTGA